ACACACACAGATTTCTTGTTAATGAAATTGCTATATTATTGTTACATAAATATAAATATATATTAAAGTAAGAATCTCACACAAAAGTTTAGTTAAGAATTATAATGAGTAAGAAAAGTTGCAAAGTTGCTTAAAAATATACCCCCACAAACTGTTTGGGGGCTCATTCCTTTTTGCGAATTGCTGATTCAATTAAATAGCTTATAATAGAGACAAGTATCCGGAAAAAAATTTTAAAAAACAAATAATAGTTTTAAGTTATCCACATAAACTAAGATCTTTGAACTTCCATCAGACTGAATCTTCCATCCGTAGACTACGAAAAGGGATTTCTTTAAAAACTAAATACTTTTAGTTGAAGAAATTCGATAGACAGACAGAAACTGATCAGAACAAATGGTTTTCCCCGGCTCGCCGGAAAAATTCTCGCCAACCTTACGGAGGGGGGGGGGCGGACACTTATTCTCTTATTACACTCATACCCCACTAATGGGGTAACGAACATTCCTCCATCCAGGAGGTCCAGAGTCAACGATCGTAAATCACATCAGTACGGTCTGCTCAAAATTATATCCGAGGTTGAAATCTACAGTCAATTCAACAATAGCTACCTCGTAGATTATTTAAGGCCCTTGCCATCACCCCGGGAACGAAGTATAATTCCCAGGAACACAAAAAGTATGAAAATCTTACGACTTCCCGGGTTCCCGGGAAAGGAACCTTAAATGGTAATAACGAATATAACACTTAGTAGAATACTCGTAAAAATGTTATCTGAAAAAGTTCGCAATAAGCTCTCTTTTTACACTTAAAATTGAATCTTTTAGAACAAGATGTATACATCTGCAACTTTTTGCTGATTTACATTTTTACCGAATTATTTGAACCATTGCTCATTAATCCCTGACTAACAGCTTTCGTTTCTGCCCATTGTTTCCACAATTAGAAATCACGTACTGTCTCTCCCCTTTCCAGTACCGTAAAATACGGCGTATAACGCTCACCCATACTTTCAAGGTGCATTTTTTAATTTTGAGGTATGTTCGCCGTATAACGCGCACCCCGCTTTTTAAGAAGAAATCTGAAATATTAGTATACAACGTTCTTATATTTTGAAGTCATTTATTCGAGATATTATGCCACACTTTTGAAATAATAGTATATTTCTAGAACTAGAACTCTTTTAGTTCATAAGGTATATCATTTCTTTTAAATAAACAGTACTTCGAATGTGTGCAAGTAAAAAAAAATTTATGCTCATCTCTTTAGTTATCTTTAAAGATATCGTTTTTATACTCGGTGTATAACGCGCACCCTTATATTCCGATCTCATATTTTGTGTTCAAAGTGAGCATTATACGCCGGATTTTACGGTACAGTAAGACCCCACTTAACGCGGGGAATACGTTCCATCAAAGTAGAGCGTAATGCGAAACAGCGCTAAACGAGGCTATCTTAACATGTAAATAATGGGGTTAGGGGAAAATGGATAGAAAATTGGTTAGGTATTAAATTTAATAATTATGTTTTTTTAACAAAAATAAAACCAAACATTTATTTCTTACAAAAATAAAAACAATATAAACG